TACGTTGACGCAGTGCTGGAGGGCCTTCCTACTAGCAGCAAATACCTTGCAGATCTCCGTGAGCAGCTACAGTCTGACAGCGTCTGTTCCCAAGTCATGAAGTTCTGTGCAGGAACCAGCTGCAGGGAGTAGTAAAACACTACTGGTCAGAAAGAGCAGTTTTGAGTGTACACAACAGACTACTACTGCGAGGCACAAGGTTGGTCATACCTGCAAACATGCGAAATGCAGTTTTGGACAAAATACACGAGGGTCACCAAGGGGTAGTTAAGTGCCAAAGAACGTGCCCAGGGGTCTGTTTGTTTCCTCCTGTCTCTGCTCAGTGGAAACAAAAGGCTGACCTGCGAAAAAAAGTGAGAGACAAAAAAAATCCCACGGCTCCCAATAAGGAGTCGGCTCGCATCGTTCACTTCAACAAGCCAGCTCTAAGAGCCATTTCTTCGCGACTGACCCATCACTTATGTCTATGTACCTAAATACACAGAGTTTCTACCATGTGATTGGCTCATTAGATAGTGGTTTTAACAGGCAGGTAAATAGGTGTAAGCTATAGTGAGCAGTCAGTTAGTCTAGCATTAAGACAGGAAACATGGTGTGGGGTGACAACTAGTCTGCCACTTCTAACGATTATAGCTGAGCACTTGTTTGTCCTTCCTCTTGCCTGAACATGTTCTTTTTGCATTACTTTATGTTATCAAGAGTGAAGTCTTGAGAAAGGACACATAAGTGTCTGACCTTCAGGATAAGGAGGCATAGTTGTAATGACTCAGTTCATGGCTGCACTAAATAAAAAACTATTTGATAAATCTCCACTTTGTGTCACATTAATGCAGTAAAAATGACTAATGAGGCATATCTAACACAAGTCTTCTCTGACATACAAGAAATGATTATACAATGCAGTAAACAAGGCAAATTTCAACGTAAAGAAAAGAAACCCTGCTGTCCCCTAATAATGAAATCACAGTCAGAAAAGTCAATACCTGGATGCTCTGTGGGAAAGCTAATGGACAATGACAATGACTGGGGTAAAAACAAATATTAATCAATTTGCTACAATAAATATAGATGACTCATGTTGCTGAACAGACCGATGTCTCCTAAAAGGTTTTAGCAATAACATTGACTGCAACAACAATTAAAAATGTATTATTTCATGAGCCACCTTCAAATTAATGTCAAGAAAACATTAATACAATTATTAGCAGTACCTCAATCAATGACACTTTTGAGGTACATTGAGGGACTTACAGTTTTTTCTGAATGCTTAAACCCTAACTGTGATTCTTATAGCACAATTTCTAAAACTATTGATACTTATAGCAAAACCACTCACTGAGTTTGCAAAATTAAAAGCACAAACACTGCTTTGCACTCAGTTTGCCATTTTGTAACACACACTTTGCAAACCTGTAGCTACAATCCACTGCACAGCACTCTTTTTGCAGAACTGTAAACACAACTCACTGCTTTACACTCAATTTCCAAATGATCA